ACCCGCGAACCGAACTCGAGACGGCCCGCTACTTACACCGCGAATACGCGCCGCGTCGCCCGACCGTTTAAACAGCCCGTGCTTTCGCCGCGACACGTGTAGACCCTTTAAACGATCCGCGCTCGCGCCGCGAAGTAAACACACGGGGATTTAAACCGCGCCTGGCCGCGCCCGTACCGCGCACGTGTCACGTAACGCGACCGACGCTGCCCGATACCCGCGGCGTTGTACATATGTACAATATATTCATTGTAAATATCACTCAGGCATCGAGCCGTAATAAATCCATTCTTTTGTGTAAATTGTCGATCAAATTTAATCGTGCCCTGACTTCCACGCGAACTCTGGTCCGGCGAGCTAGTCCGGTTCGCTCACCACCACACCGAAAAGCGAAGTCGTTTCAAGCATGGTGCGTTGATGTGCGTGTTGCTTCTCTCTTGACTGGTCCCAAAACGAGCCATCCGAAAATGGAGAGTTGTGCTATCGGCATGAGTGGAGAATGCCTGATGACATTGGACTTGATGATTTGCCCATAAGCGTCTGCGCCGATGAGGATGTCAACTGGCCGTGGAATGAGAAAGTCAGGATCGGCTAATGCCAAGTTCCTGAGATGCGGCCATTCTTCCGGTTCCGCCTCGAACGATGGTAAGATTGATGTAACTGTCCGGAGGACATGAGCTTGAATTGTGGCAGCTGCGTTGGAATGTGTCGAGCGTAACGTGAGTGACACGACTCCTCGTGTCCGAGTACACTCCTTGCCTGCAATTCCAGTGATGACAATACCTGAGTATTGACGAGGGATGTTGAGCTGCCGAATGAGATTCTCCGAGACGAAGGTGAGCTCGGATCCTGTGTCAATGAGCAGACGTACTGAGTGCTGCGTGATCGATGAGCTAATCACTGCCAAGGCTGTGGCGAGTAGAGTTGAGTAGGATGAGTGGACGTTTGAGCTGGCTTCGACGACTGCACCGTCCTCTTATGTGGTGGGCGTGCCCGACGAGCTGCAAGGCTTTTGAGCGGTCGGTGTTGTTGCAGATGCATCGTGGAGCATCGTATGATGCCGCTGAGAGCACTTCTTGCACCCCCGCTGGGACTTGCATGCTCGCACGCTGTGGCGTCCCAGACAATTGAAGCACAACCGCTTCTGTATCGCCACTGTGTGCCGCTCGAATGGTGGTAGCGCCCGGAATTTGCTGCACATCACGATGAAATGGGGAGCGTTGCAGCAGTCGCACGGGTACGACGTGTCGCCCTGGTTAGTCGCCTGATGAGCCACTTGCTGAGCTGCCGACTTCCTGGATGGTGAGGAGGCTGTACTGGGACCAGGCTGAGCTGTCGTACTCTCGATCCGTTCGAGAGCCCTGATCCGTGTCGTCAGAAACTCGTCAAGCTTCTCGAACGTGGGGTAGTCTCGCGTAGCTCCGACCGAGTTCTCCCACTGCTCGCGCGTCACGCGATCTAGGAGTCGCGTGGCGTGGTATACCACTGCGCAATCCCCGAGCTGATCCTTAACGTCGAGGGCCTCCAGTCCCTTGAGCGCCTCCCTGAATCCCGAGACATGTCGATCCAATGCCGCCGCCTTCCGTGGCACCGGGGTTGAGCTGGCGAACAATTTGTCCAGGCAGGCATGGATGAGCAGACGCTTGTTCTCGTATCGGTCCTTG